TTGGTCACCTTGTAAATGAAGAGGAACTAATCAAGCACTAATGGGTAGTTACAAGGAAACCAAAGAGAAACAAATCAGGAGCTAATGGGTAGTTAACCAGTACTTACTAGGAACACACAGCCAAGCCTTATTAAGGGACTACTGGTTTGTTACCACAAAAACAGAGGACAAATTCTCCATTTGGGTTCTGAATAAACCCTGCGCCAGTGAGGTCACAGCTCGTAATTGTCAAAAACCTGTTTCCAAGTGATTACTGGTTTTATTGGATTCTTATCACTGATTAGCATTTTCATAATATTGTACTGTATCCAATAAAATCAGTAATCACTAGGAAACAGGTTTTTGACAATTACAAATGGTGACCTCACTGGTGCAGAGTTTATTTAGAGCCCACATGAAGAAGTTCTCCTCTGTTTCTGTGATTAAAAAAAAAACAGTAGTCCCCTATTAAGGCTTGGCTGTGTGTTCCCCAGTAAGTACTGATTAACTACCCATTAGCTCCTGATTTATTCCCAATTTGTTCCTGAGGCGTTACCTAATAGTTAAATCAAATTTTGTGTACATTATTGTAAAATATTACTTTGCCGCTTGATAAAATAACCTTTTTAGGCATGTTTGCATATTTTTGTCACCCACTGTGGAGAATTGGAAATACCCTCCGTACATTCAACCATCTGCCCTCCCATCCTTCTGTAAATGTTGTGAGCATGATAACTTGAAAAATAAGTAAGATACTGAATTCCATGTTGGTGCGTGACTGCATCGAGATGTAAGAAAGTTTCAAAGTTATGAAGATTGGTTTGCCACTTTAAAGTCCAAGATGGCTGCTTCCTGCCAAATATGCACATATTTTGACCTTGTGAGCTAGATAGCTTGAAAAATAAGCATTTAGTTTTGGTGTGTGACTGTATATAAGCATGAAAAAGGCCACTATCAAAATTGGATAGTCAAATCATAATCCATACACGGTCCAGAAAAAAAACCACTCATCTCAAAAACTACAAACATTCACTATTCAAACCCCTCAGTAATAGGGAACAACAGTAATCTGTGTTTTCATTGTTTGTAAGCTGCAAACTTGAAAAAACGTTACCATAAGTTTATTTCTTTTATGACTGTATGACCTTTAACTTAATGTCATATACAAAGTAGTTTAAGTAATAAAACAAATACATAAATGTTTTAATTCACCTTAATCTTAATGGGAATAACATTTCTTTCGGTATATGTTCGTTAAATACCTTCAAGGAGGATTAATGTGTCAGCTTGTGTGGGACTCCATATCAGCATTAGTAATCTTATCTTCGTTTGGTTCAAGAACACAGAAAAACCACAGATATTGTGAAAAACTTGTGTTTTAGGAAGTTCACACAAGTTTCTATGATGTAAATAAATACTTCTGTTTTATTTTTCTTTTCGATGTGTGAACGTTATCTCTTAGAAAATGGTTTAATATATTTAAACATATATATATATATATATATATATATATATATATATATATATATATATGTATAGTGAACACATGTTTTCATTCAGTCTAAAATATTAAAAGCATTAAATTTTTGTATGTATTGTAGAAATTGAATGGCAATCAAGTTAACTTAGTTATTAAACCTGTTCCTCTGACTTTGTTTTCAGTGAAATCTTTGAACCTGACATATTTAATTGTATCTATATACAGTAGGCTTCTTTAAACATTTGTACTGTCTCCTTTTTAGGTCAATTAAACTTCATATTTTTGCAATTTTTTTAAACATCGACGTTGAAAATAATTATCAATACCAATACGATTGCAGATCTATAATTATCATGCGCCTTTAATGGAACTAACATGATAGTATTTATACGAGGGGTGGCACATTGGAGCAGTGTTTAGAAATGGTGAACCGCAGCCAGAAGGTCACAGGTTTGAAACCCTGCTAATGTTTTTTATATGTGGAGTTAGGATTATTTATTTGTTATTAAATTTCATTTAAGTAGGCAAATACCGCTGATATCACAGATCTCTGTTTGAAAGGAGGCCTGGGAGTACCCAGAGAAAACCGACGTAAATACGAGGAAAACATGCAAACTACACAGAAAGACCCCAGGCCCAGCCTAGAGAATGAGTCAGGGAGCTTCTTGCTGTGAAGCAACAGTGCTAACCACTAATCCAATGTGCTGGATTCTCTCCCCTTTCTTTTTTATAACATTGTAAGCATGAAAACAAACTTCCTCCTACTTTATCAAATATGAATGACACTTTGAAACGCTGAAATTAGCAACAATCAGAGCAAAAATGCACAATGTTGTAGATGTTTTTTCTGATACATGTACATTTGTGTTTTTTTATGGACCAATACGGATGACATACTGATCTCTGTGTGCATTCAACTTCTTCATCACATCTTGTTGTTTTGGGCATTTGTATAAAAAGTCACAAATAAGGTTCATTTGTTAAGTGTTAGAGTAACTTTGGTCATGTGATCAGAATTTACCTGAAACGTCTGGACGTTTACGTTCCGTGTGTTTAATCAGCGACAGAATATGTTTGGTTTTATGGCTCCAGGTTAAAGGTTAACAACCCTTCAGCTGACTTACAGAGTCATAAAGTCTGTTTATGAGCCAAGATAGTTGCTCTTAAACTACCGTCTAATCTCTTTTTTAACTCACAGCCTCTGATTTCGTCTGTTTACTAAATGACGAGCACCAAAGCGTCGTGTTCTGTCAGCCGTGATTTTTTATTATTTGTGCTACACTTGAAAATGTAATCTTTTCATTGATTGCGCTGCATTATGTATTTTCTCTTTTCCTTTGAATCGATCAATTTTGAGGTAGATGATCGCTCATCTCCAGCCCGGTGCTGGAGCGTTCTGTTAAAAGGGAGTCATTTCTTCCCACTGTCACCACTGTGCTGCTCAGGCTGGGAGATTGCAACAAAATGTAGATTTATATTGATAACTTTTAATTTATAATGCACATGACTGTTTTCGTGCAGTGCCCTGAGATGACTTTTATTGTAACTTGGCTCGATATAAAAATACTGAACTGAACTGAAAGTGAATTATAAATACCAGAGAATTTTATCGCAGCTTCATGCGATGTTGCCTTGTCATGCAGAAGTCATTCAGCCATAAAACCAAAAAAACAGGTGCCAACTCTCCTGCACTGATCATTAACCATCACAAAGTCTCTAAAAACAGACAAAAGAAGAAAACTATACAAAGTTGTTTATTTCATGTTTCATTATGGTTATTTATTTATACTGTACGGTACAAGAAGGAACTCAGGCAAGACTAAAAACATTAGCAGAATACTCTGTAGTTGTTGTGAACTCATTAAGACATTTCTCTCTGCAAATGTTTCAAAAGGGTGTGGTGGAGTTGATAATGAATCTGGTTTGAACCAGCAACACAGAATACATAATAAATACATTGAAACCCATCTGTGCTGCTCTTTTTAATAATGTATAGTAATACATATTTGCTATATAAAGGAGATTTGTCTTGAGGGTAAGTGTTTACAGAAACGATGTGCAGAAAACGAGAACTGCACCAAGCTGGTGGCTGAGTGGAGACAATTTTTGCCCCATCTGTAATTTTTTCACAGTTGTGGTTAGTACATCTATTTGCATATCTTTATTTCCAAATTGTTCTTCCTATTTTTGATTTAACAGCTTAAAATGAGCTAACAAACAATAGCTACTTCAACATTTGACTTTTAGGACAGCTAAGTCCACAGTAAGCCATAAAAGCCTGCAAAGAAACAGATGTTTTTTTTCCTCTAACAGTTTGTGACACAGCTGTCTGAGTTTAGTACTGACTCTGCATCACATGTCGTTCGCTTGAGCAATTTTTGAATCTGGGTTGGGGCTTTTTTTTGTTTGTTTTAAATGTGGCTAAATTCTGCAGCGTGAATGTCTCATTCCAAGGACTATTTTTATACACACAAAATAACTCACTTCCTTAAACTCCTCACGAAGTGGCAGCTAAAGACGAGCAAAAGAACACCTTTTTATGTCAAATATCTCTCAAATGAACATCTTGTTGCAGCACGGTGGCGCAACTGGTAGAGCTGCTGCCTCTCAGCGAGCAGGTCCCTGGTTCAAACCCCGGTCCAGGGGCCTTCTGGGTGGAGTTTGCATGTTCTCTCCGTGCATGCGTGGGTTTTCTGCGGGTGCTCCGGTTTCCTCCCACAGACCAAAAACATGCATGTTAGGCTGATTGGTAACTCTAAATTGTCCCTAGGTGTGAGTGAGAGTGCATGGTTGTTTGTCTCTATGTGGCCCTGTGATGGACTTGCGACCCGTCCAGGGTGTACCCCGCCCCTCGCACAGTGATTGCTGGACATGGGCACCAGCGACCCCCGTGACCCAAAATGGAATAAACGGGTAAAGATAATGGATGGATGGATGGATGGATGGATGAACATCTTGTTATTGCTTTTTATACTAACATTTCAGTGTAATTATATCACCTTTTATGTTATATATTTTTTCACAACTCAAAATGGTGTTGGTTTATATTTTAGAATATTTATGATAAGTGCTAAATCTACATTTCAACATAACATTGTGCTTTAAATTGTTTAGCACGTTAAAAATAAGGAATGGATGGATTTTCATTTCTTGAGTCAGTTTGTTTTTGCTGTGCTCAGCTTCCGTGAAGCAGATGTGTCATTTAACTTTCCAGAAATTTAATATCCGGGTTATTTTTGTAAATGCCTGAAGCTGCATGCTGCTTCTTAGTCATTTTCTTTTTGTTGTGCAGTTACAGTAAAAAATGAAACCTAATCTCTAGTCAATGTTGCAGAAATCTGATAAAACATAAAAAAGCAGCTTTTATCTGTTAACACACAAAAAAGTGTCTGATTTAAATGAACTCGTAAGATTTGATGAGTGTGGAGCTTTGTGTTATATAAAACAGGCAGTGCAGAGTTATTAGGTCATTTAAAGTGAATCAACATATAAAAACAAACTATGTACATTTCAGTCTCAGTCTTACTGATAAAACATCTACTTAGTACTCCTCTGGTTTTACATCCGTCATCAAGAGGCTGCTGGTGCCGGGGCTGCTGGGAAGGTGGGCGTCAGCGAGCGCAGGTGAGGCGGGGGTCGTGGTGGAGGCCTGCTGGGACTGCTGCAGCCTCTTCTTGTTCATCTTCCTCTCTTTGGCTCGTCGGTTCTGAAACCAGATCTTCACCTGGCGCACACAAATACGAGACATGGGCTGCTGTTACAAATAAAATCTTGTATTTTTTATATTTTAGCAGTGAAGCTTCTTCGGGTCAAACTGTATGAATTTGGGATGTTTTCTCACGCCACTGAGCCAACTTCTGCTTCAGATTAGAAATGTCACATTTCCTGAGAAGTACTTTGGGTGTTTCCGGTGTTGCACACAGCTGTGGCTTAATGTGTGACTCAGTGAGGTAGCATTAAAGACGATTAGAACACGATGAGCGAAAGAGTGCACATTTTTCCATTAATCCTACTTTATGTGTTTGGCCACAAAAACACATTATGGTTTATGGAAATGTTCCAAAGTTGGTTTCTCTAAATGAGATGGAAAAACCTTTCTGCCTTTGTTGGCCTTGTTAGTTTTAACCCTTGATCTATCCATAAAAATAGCATAAATAAATCAATAAATTTAAACTAGATAAAGTGCATTTCCTGCAAAAATGCAGTGTGAATGCTTCTTCTTCTTCTATTTCTGTAGACTCCTGGTGGAGCATAGGGCTGCAACAACACCCCGCCAACGAACTCTGTTTTGGGCGGCTCTCTTCAGCTGGGTCCACGTCACTCCGGCGGCCTTCCTGTAATGTGTGAATGCTTATTGCTGAAGAACTTGCTGAAAAACAGCTGAAATTAGCTAAAACAAAACAAAACTAAATTAGCAGAAGAAAGCAGAAAGAACATATATTTGTTGAATTAGGTTTAAATAAGCAGAAATGAGCACAAAAAATAAGAAGTCAGCTAAAATAAGCTTAAATTAGCACAAAACTGCTGAAAAGTAGCTGAAAAGGCAGAAAGAAGCTTAACATACCAGAAGGAAGTGGAAAGAGTTGAAATTAGCTTTAAAAAATATGGAATTACCTGAAAAAGCTAAAGTTAGCATAAAAACGGCTAAATATTAGCTGAAATAGCAGAAAAAGCTGAACGGATCATGACAAGCTGAAAGTAGCCGAAAAAAGAAAAACTTGATAGTTGAAATAAACTTTAAAATGCTAAAATAAATTAGCTGTAAAGGTAGAACAAGCTTAAATTAGCAGAAGAAAGCAGAAAGAATATATTTGCGCAATTAGGATGAAGGAAGCAGTAACGAGCACAAAAAAGTGGAAATTATTTGAAAAAAATCTGAAATTAGCAACAAAAAACAGCTGAAAAGTAGCTAAAAAGGCACAAAGAAGATTAAATTACAAAAAGGAAGTGGAGGGTTCACATTTTTGCAGAATTAGGCTGAAAAAGTTAAAATGAGTGCAAAAATGTGGAATTAGCCGGAAAAGTTCAAATTAGCATAAAAACAGCTAAATAGAATTCAAAAATACTTTATTAATCCCAAAGGGAAATTATTTGTTGTTGTAACTCGTTATCTTCATTTCATTAAGAGATGTTATAGATGCTGATGGCTGTAGACAGGAAGGATCTCTTGTAAAGGTCCATCTCACAGTGGATCCTAAGAAAATGGCTGCAGATGCCGTCCGATCCGTCCACCCAGACTCGGCTGGCCTCTCGGTTCCCCGGGCTGTAGGACCGCCCGAATGTGGGGCAGAACTCCTCCCAGAGTGATGGCCACTCCTCCCAGCAGTCTACCGAGCTCCTCGTCGCTGTGGACAGTCAACTGTAGATGCCGAGGGACGATCCTGTCCTTCTGCTGTCATGAGCCGTGTTTCCTATAGTTCCAGGATCTCACTGGTCAGGCACTCGAGCACAGCTGGCAGGTAGATGAGAATGCATCCACAGAACATCCTTTTCAACTCATTTGAGATTTGGGACTGTAGTTGAGATATTATTTGAGCTTTTGAGATGTTAATCAGCTGTTGTTGTTGTAGAAAACTGCCTTGTTGTCATGGTTATGCATCATAACAAATGTCCAAAACTAAAAAAAAGTTTCAGTAAAAATCCTTCCAGCTGCACAGCATCCGATACCAGAGGAAACAATCATCCAAAAAATGTGATTTACATCCAGAAAAATAGGAATTAAAGTTTCCAAAAGCAAAATCTCAGAATGAAAGTAACAGAGCTGCTCCAACATGCAGCCACCTTGAGCAGCGCAATTCTAGAAGCTGAAATAATAGAAATAGTTGAAACTTGCAGAAATAATCTGAAAGGAACATAAATAGTTGAAATTAGCAGAAATAATTTAGAAAAAGCACACAAATGTTTTAGATAGCAGAAAGAATCGGAAAGGAGCACAAAAACTGCTAAAAACAGCTGGAAAATGTTTAAATTTGCACAAGGAAGCTGAACCAGAACTAAATGTGAAAGGAGCAGTAAAAGGTTGTAAACAGACCTAAAGATCTGAAGGATGTAAAATGTGCTCAATTCATTTTCTATGAGGAAAAAAATGTCAGAAAAGGCTAAATATTTCAAAAAAGCTAAAGTTGCACTAATACCTAAAATCATAGCAGGATTGTCCTGAAAGAGCTGAATGTTCTGCTGTATGAGTTGTGGAAATAGCTTAAAAACTGCAGGACAAGAATTGTGCTGAAAATGTACGGAAGAAAAATGGATCACAACAGTGTGAATGCTTCATAAACATGGATCACAATAAACATTCACACGACTATAAAAGCATGTCCACCACTTTGTTGCATCTTTTTTAACCACATTCTTTCAATAATTTTTTTAAAAAACTAACAGGTAGAGTTGTAAATGTAAGATATTTCCATTTCTTGCAATTAATTACTTTTAATCTTTTGAATTGAAGGTCATCCTTGTTTTATTTTTAATTTAAATTGAGCTTGTTTCTGAGCAGGCAGGCCACTTTAGGTTCTGACTCCTTTTACTGGCACTCTTGTTTCATAAGTGAAAAGCATTTCCTTAATTAAATATGCAAAACTTCAGCAGATAAAGGTGTCAATCAGCTACAGGAACCCTCAGTAACACATACAGAGTGTGCAGTATTAAAAATACATTTCAGTTTGTATGGGTGATCATTATCTTACCTGCAGCAGAAGCTGCTCAGAGTTTTAATCAGTTTGAATTTTCAGGCAGTTTTCTCACAGGAGAGCTAGCAATAACCCAGAATGGTGCCAAGACCAAAGGTGGATTACTGTCATCTTAAAATAACTCCAGTTTATAACATGTCATAATAATGCTGTTATAAGTACCCCGGGCTGCACTGGAAGTGCTACAGCTAGCTGCTACTATTCTTGCAATAAGCCCAAGAGTTATATGTAAAACTGTGTGGAGCAGTGTCACAGTTAAAAGGTAACGTTTGGATGAAGTGCTGTGAAAGTTTTAAGACTGAAGTTGTTTCATGACAACACACAATCCACTCTGATCGCCATCAGAATCGTTCTCAGCCATCACTGGAGAAAATTTCTTGATTCTCCAAACTATTAACGCTCTGAATGATTTCTGTTGTCTGTAAGATATTGATTACTGATTGTAAAATATCGATTACTCATAGCAACCCTACAGAACACCACTTTAAAAAACTTAGAACTATTCCTTTAATTTTGCCTTCCCAAATGTACATCTCCTCTGTGTTACTGGCACTAATGGACACTGGTTTTTATCCTCTTTCCAGTTTTCAAGCTATTTCAACAAATCATAAATCAAAATGTTCAGCTCTTTCAGGACAATCCTGCTATGACTTTTGATATTGGCGCAACTTTAGCTTTTTGAAATATTTAGCCTTTTCTGCCACTTTTTTTCATAGGAAATGAACTGAGCACATTTTACATCGTTCAGATCTTCAGATCTGTTTACAACCTTTTACTGTTCCTTTCACATTTAGTTCTGGTTCAGCTTCTTTCAGCTTCCGTGTGAAAATTTAAACTTTTTTCAGCTACTTTCAGCTGTTTTGTGCTCCTTTAAGATTTGTTCGGCTAACTACAACATTTTTGTACTTCTTTTAATTTCTTTCTGCTAATTTCAGTTTGTTGTGCTCCTTTCAGCTACAAATTTAAACTTTTTCTACTATTTCAGCTACTATTTAGCTGATTTATGCTAATTTAAGCTTTTTCAGCTAATTCCACATTTTTTGCTCTTATTTCACATCTAAGTGAAATAAAATTTTTCCCATCTATTTTTCACATCTAAGTTGCAGCACCTATGTACGGACTGCAATGAAGGTGCAGGGGAGGACTGAAAAGCTCTCCCTGCAGTCCAGCTATGAGCAGTCTGTACCGAGGCAACGCTCCATCCGTCCCACATCCTGTATGTGGAATATGAGCTCTTGCCTTCCGGTAGAAGGTACAGAATCCCCCAAAACTAAACTGAACCATTTTAAATATTATTTTGTGCCTTCTTCCATCAAAATTTTTAATCAAAATTTTTAATAAATTATAAATATAAATATTGTATATGTATGTATTTTGTATATATAAGTAGCATTTATAAGCCAGATGTCAAAGACAAATCTCCATTTCATTGAATGTTATGGACAATAAAGTTGAATTGATTGATTGATTGATTGATTGATATAAATATAAATATAAATATGAATATTGAGGCCTGGAAGGTGTGCAAGAACTTTGGTGTTCTCTGTTGTTGTTTAAACTGTTGTGTTTTTTTAGCTGTTCATATGAATTGTGTGTGCATTTAATGTCTGTTTCTACAGCTGCTATATGAAATATACACCTGAGTCCATGACAAATTTCCCCTAGAGGACAATAAAGTCTATTCTATTCTATTCTATTCTATTCCAATCTATTCTATTCTATTCTATTCAACTTTTTTCAGTCTAATTCAGCAAAAACTTACTCTCTCCACTTCCTTCTGGTAATTTAAGTTTCTTTCTGTTTTTTAATTACTTTTCAGCTGTTTTTTTTTGTTGTTGTTGCTAATTTCAGCTTTTTTCAAATAATTTTCACTTTTTTGTGCTCATTTCTGCTTCTTTCAGCCTAACTGGGCAAACATGTTCTTTCTGCTAATTTAAGCTTCTTCTACATTTTAGCTACATTGTTTGCATTTTTAGCTCATTTCAGGTGTTTTCAGATAAATTAAAGTTTTTTGTGGCCATTTCTGCTACTTCCAGCCTAGTTAACTTATTTATGCTAAATTTAGTTTACTGTGCTCCTTTCAGCTTAATTCTACTTGCTTCACCTTTTTCTGCTGTTTCAGCTACTATTTAGCTATTTTTATACTAATTTTAGCCTTTTCAGCTAATTCCACATTTCTTAGTTCATTTCAGCTCTTTCTGTTTCTGTCTTTTAGTTTTCTTTCTGACTTTTCAGCTTTTTTTGTTTGTTTGTTGCTATTTTCAGCATTTTTTTTAGCTAATTTTCTAATTTTTGTGCTCCTTTCTGCATATTTAATCCTAATTCAGCAAATGCAACCATTATTTAAACAGGTTAGTCCCATTGAGCCGCGAGAACTCATTTACAAGAGCGACCTGGATTTTAACAAAGAGTGATGACAACAGTGGGAGGAGTGGTGGCACAGAGGCTAGAGAAGATGGGCATGTGATCGGAAAGTCGCAGGATCAACTCCCGGTACCGTCAACATCAAAATGTGGGTAGAAAAGGTGAAACACCCACACCTGCCTTCACCTTCATTCGCCCCACTCTGGGCCCCTGAGCAAGGCTCTCAACCCCCACCATTTACTCCCAAAAACCGGTCTCTCTTGAAAATGAGTTCTTGTGACTCAATAAGACTACCTGTATAAATAAAGGGTAAATGAAAAATAAAAGATGCATACAATTTTTATGTATATATTTAAAAAAAAAATTTTTGTACATTTTAAATATGTTCTTTCTGCTTTTTTCTACTAACTTGGGCTTGTTTTTCCTTTTCAGCTACATTCCAGCATGTTTTTAGCTAATTTCAGCTGTTTTTCAGCAAATTCTTCAGCAATAAGCATTCATGCTGCATTTTCGCAGGAAATGCAATTATTCCAGTTATTAATGACCTGCTCTTCTTCACCTCTAGGGTTTTAATACTCTGAAAGAAATGCACTCAGCTTTGTATCTAACACACATTGCTGATTGTTCTTGTAAGGTTTCATCCCTGCAGATATGTTAGCTAGTTTTATCATTTCCTGAAATAAAATTGCATCCTAACAAAGAAGTTAAAGCACTAGCTAGATCTGTCTGGTCTCAGTTCTGAAAATAGTGGATGTTCTAAAAGAGGAAATGGCCCATCTGACAAACTAACTGATAAACATGCATTTTTTTACAGAACATTCTGTGGTTTCAGTGTTAAACCCTTCGTAGTCTTTATGATGCAATCTTGTTTTAGAGATAAAGCAGACAGGAAGAGCAAAAGTTGTCGAACGCTTTAGAACAGAGTTATTCAACTAATTGCTCAGGGGGCCACAGTTACTGAAAGCCAAGAGCTCAGGGGCCCGACATCCAGCTGTTATTCTCATTAAGGTTGTTTATGTATTAAAATCGAGTTTAGTTTAAAAATGAACCCACTGGTGGACCGAACTGAGCTCACCCATGGGCCTGATTTGACCCCTGCCACCAGTTGAATAGCCCTGCTTTAGACGCTGCTGTGCTTTTAAGTAACGAAGGGAAAAATATGGATCTAAAAAGATCTTTAAATGTGGTTGTTTTAACGTCAGCGGGTGCTTTTTGTTTTTCTTTACTTTCACTTCCTTTACGTGTGTCATGCAGCTGCATTTCATGCCCACTCCTTTCTTCTTTTAGCTCCCGTTCAGCTTGTTGCGGCTCACATTCATCCTCTCACCTGTCTCTCAGTGAGGCTGAGAGCCATGGACAGCTCGGACTTCCTCCTCATGGTGATGTAGCGATTGCACTGAAACTCCTTCTCCAGCTCCTGCCGTTGCTGGTCGGTGTACACCACCCTGTACTTGTCCTTCGTCCGAGTCTTTCCTCCGGAAGCTGAATCAGTAGAAAGAATGAAAGAAAAATGTGGATGCTTAAGCAAAACTGTGCAGGTATTTACATCTGTGTAGGCCTCCCTCTTTTTGTAAAGCAGGAACGATTGTCAGTGAGTCACACGTGGTGCACAAAAAAAAAAAAGGCCAAACACGTCTGGAGCCAAGTTCAACTCCAGGCGCCACTCAAATCCTCATCAGCTCTATTAATCACGCTAAATATCACTAATGCAAAGACTCTGCGCTGCCTCGCTGCTTCTCCTTATCACCCTGCGCGGTGTTTGCACAGTGTTTCCACAGGCGCCCATTCATTCATCGACACGAATGTTCACTCTGAGACTTATCGATTAGAAAATGTGACCGTGTGGCGGCATCGATCCGTGCACACCCACACAGGTACGTAACGGCTGAGTGTTTGGCTTCCTGCAGGAGAACTATTTGTCATTGCTGTGCACCCACCCAGTGGACGGAGAGGATGGGGAGTGGCAGCTTCATGGCCTCCACTGTTAGTTTTACGTCTCAGACCACGCTGCCGGCTGGAAGAGGTGACAGCATGAGAAATGTAGGTGTGTGGCCGGGCCTGGGTTCACTCTACGTGCTCGTGTCTAGGAAAATGTGTTAGCACATGTCTGAGGTGCTGCAGAGGCCTGTTGCTTAAAAAAAGGTTGTTATCAAGATGGAGCTTTTCCTGTTTGTGTAATGAATAGACATTTAAGGCTCTGCTTAACTAAATGAGATTATTTTAATGAATTTCAAAGAAAAGGTCCTTATAATTTGCTTTAATCAGACGCTTTTATTTTGAAAGTTCATACATTTTTCAATGACAAAAAAAAAACAAATGCAGATTCTGTCTGGAATATTATTGTTTTAGATGAAAGCATCTCTAAATTAATTATAATTTACTGCATTTAAACAGTGGCACTGCTGAAACCGCTCAATGTGGGAGTCTTGTCTTTAATTTGTTTTTTCATTAGCTTGCAGTGCATCTTGGGAAAATAAAACAACTATTGCATGAGATGTATGATTATTTTTCCTAAAAGCTCATCCACTTCAGTTTTGGAGAAAATATTACGTTAAAAAAATTATTATCTGGCCAAAATACTTGTTTTTTTTTTATCAGAGTCTTGCAAATTCCTGTTGAAATACTTTTGTGGAAATCACAATAAAAGTCCAGAAGCGGTATTTTATGTTTACACTGCATGACATGGTACAATATTTAAAAAAATAAAAATAAAACGTCTGTGGCTCACAGATGAGAACTGCTCATTATACATTAATTATTGTTTATTGTGATGTTTTTTACTGTACATTAAACCAAACTGTAATATTATAAAGGGAAATAAGAGTCGCTTCAACAAATTAAAACTGTAAAAATGAAATAAATTATAGTTTGTTTTTTTATTTTAGTTTGGCGATAATATACAGTTTAAACCAAACATTACAGGGATGTACTTTTCTGATTTAATTGTATATTAAATTTTTTTACAGGTGTTTGTCATCCTTCCAATGGATGTTTTTAACACAAAGCTGCTAAAGTGACTGAACTGATTTATATTTTCTATTTACTAAAGTTTTCATTTATGAGCCTATAAACTCTTAACTGCTAAAATTTAGTCATTACATTTTCTCTAATGACAAATCGAACACTAATAGATGTTATGTCACAACAACAGTTTTCTGTGTTTCTTAATACACGTAGGCCTGTTTATTTTTTATTTTTATTGTTTCTAGATGTTGATCAGCTGTAAACTATCTATAAACTGAACATCATGTGTTTATTTTTAATGAATACGCCTTATTCCTTATTGGTTTGAGCAATATTTAAACATAAATTATTTTTAATGCAATAATAAAAAGGTCTGCAAAAACACAGTTCCTCATATTATGGTTTCACTTTTTCCTCGTATTGAGACCTACAAATGACTGCAGTCAGTTAAACTATTTTTATACTATAAAGGCAGGTTTTTGTACTTAAATGTACTTAACCTAGTACAAAAATGTTGTTCTAAAACGTCTCTGTCTTCAGCCTTTATAAGCTGCAACAAGCCATGTGTACTTGATTTGTTTTACTCTGTGTTAAATGTATAAATATAAATTGACAGATCGAGTCACGTGATCTGGCCTGTCTTACCTGGGGGGGCGTGTCTGACGGGCTCAGGTGGTCTCCTGAAGGGGTCCTGTCCTGGGATGAAGCTGTAGGGGGTCAGTGACCCCCCTCCGGTGGTGGAGGGGGTGCTGCTCAGCTCCGGGGAGGTGAAGCCGACCTGCCCGCCGATGGGGCTCGAGCCCGCGAAGCCGAACGGAAAGTCCTCGCGCGGGGTGTACACGGGGTTCCACGCGCTCGCGGACGGGTCAACGACCCCGGAGACGTGATGCTGAAACCCGGTGAAGTCATAGGCAGGCGGAAGGTACTGACTGTTCAGGGTCAGCGTCTGGGCCTGGTGTCGGACGGACTGGGAGTTGGGGTACATACCTGTGAGCTCGCGCGGCAGGTGTGTGGGCGGGGAGGGGGGGTCTCTCAGGTGAGTTAAACCTCCGGGCTCATGTCAGGCCCAGCTCCAGGTAATAATGGCGCTCTGCTTTTCACCTCAGTCTAAGGTTCAGGACTACAATCTGAGCACTGAGGGACACACACCTTTATGGATTTACTGGCAAGGAGTTCAAAAGTACCACGGTGACGTCACGCCTACCTGAGACTCACCTGCGTGCCAGTTTAGGCGACGTCAGGACAATGACCCGGCTCGACCTGGTGTGCAGATAAGGCCGTGTGTCAGGTGGGTCTACCTGTGCACGTAAACACAATAAACAACCTGAAGGAGGCTCTTTAGATCAAACTTTTCATTTAGGTCATTTTCAGGAAACACTTTCAACCTTGTGTCAAATAACTAAAACTGCGAAACCCATAAACATATAATTTATTCACAAAGCAACGCAGTAAATATTTAACTATTGTGTTCTTAATTTTTTGTTATTGTAATGCCCTTTATTGTGCATTTATTATATCTCCAACATTTTAGAGATGTGTTGACATCATCAAACTCAAAATTACCTTATTTTTGTAAAGAAATGTGAGTAAAAAGTCTTAGTGCAAAGATCTAACATGAGTTTATGTTCTAATGTGAACAAATTATGGGTGCATGAGATTTGAGAATTATTGCTTTCTATTTTAATTTTCATTTCACACAAAGTCCCAATATTTTTTTTGGAATAAGGGCTGTGTTTTCCACTAATAAAACATTCTAACAGTTCTACGATTATAATATAAAAACTAAACCAAAAACGTCCAATGTGTATAAAACAGCAGATTTTTATGGTAGAACAGCAAACAAAAAGCTCTTGTCTTCTGTAGGAAGATAACTGTTCGAGAAAATCTTTTTTTTTTACCCCATTTATTATACTTCTCACTAAATGAGTTTTTACCATCTTCTGTTTCTCAAAACATGCATTTAATATTCATAAAAAGATAAGGTCATTAAAATGTTCCATTGATAATTGTTCTAGAGTCAAGAATAAAACATTTAATCTGTTTTTCCTGTGTTTCAGATTGAATTAAACGGGGTGAGTTAGCCTAATTATGTGACTAATTTTGTTTTTTCTTATTAAATAAATGTGAATTGTCTCTGTGCTGTAATGTCTGCTGCAGTCAGAGGTGAAACTAAAAAAAATACTTTTTTTTCCTGTGTTAAGTGAAGCAATACCTTCAGTTATTTTTAAAGTCTCCACAAGAGAGCAGCAAAAAGTCAAATAACTGCCAACTCATGCAGGTCCAGAGATCTTTAACATTTATCACTTTCTATCAATCTCACATGATGTGTATTCACCTCAGCTGCTCCCAGTGTAGCCCTCTGTTGACATCACTTCATTAGAATGCTGTTGTGGCCTCATACAAATTAGTTTTTGTGCATCTGAATCATTCATAAAAGATTCATATAAGTATCTTGGTCAAAGCCGTTATTAATCTCTTAATCTGTTTGCAAGAAGGACGCTGCTTGTTAATGGACGTGAAGTGTTATCTGTACATTAAGTGCAACGTAAACTTCACAAACATTTTATCAAAAGTGAAAATGCTTGGATGACTGCCTGAAAAATGATGAATGTGGTTTTAGCTTTTACAGAATACACGAGAGAGTGTGGTAATGTACAAGTACGAGCGTGCAGTTCCTGCATCTTCTGCTAAAATCACTGTATTTGTACGTTGAAGCATTGTTTTGCTGCTGATGAGCCCCTTGGATTAAAAATCACCAATCTTTAAATTAAAACAAGTTACTTTATGTGAGTAATCCACATATATCCAACAAAGTTCAGTCAGGTCATCTGGATGGTTTCTTTTTTTTTTTTTTTTGGTTGAGACATTTCATCTTTCATCCAAAGGACTTCATCAGTCGGACGAGCCCCAGTTTGTTGGGGCTTCTCAGACTGATGAAGTCCTTTGTATGAAAGACAAAATGTCTCAACAACAACAAACATAACAGAAACCGTCCAGATGACCTGACTGAACTTTGGATTTTTTTAAACCTGGATTATTGAGCATGAACTTTGATGTTTTGAACCACTTTAGCTATGGCTGCCTCAGAGGAGTCGACGGGGGAGAGGGCTGGCCCCAGAAACCATCTTATCACCAGCAAACTGGTTGGTCCACTATGTGAGTGTGCTGCTTGTAGGACTGAGTTTGTTGGGGCTCCTCGGACTGATGAAGTCCTTTGGATGAAAGACGAAACTGTCCAGTTGACCTGAATGAACTTTGTTGGATTTTTTTAACCTGGATTATTGAGCATGAACTTTGATAATCCACATATAGCTTCTGTCTAAACAGCACAGGTCAATAATTATTTAAATTAAAACTTGTTCATGTTTGTGTCCTTGTCAGCACGTTTACCAGGTCCCATGTGTGAAACGGAGATCTGCTGTTAGAGCCCAACTCTTTATCATTTCTCTCTGACTTGTTCCGGTCCTAAAGTGTCCATAAACAGCTAATTGAGAACGTTAGCTTTATTCAAATGAAGAAGTCTGCAACAATTGGAAGCACTTGTTTTATCGAGACGTTATCTTCAGAACATGACGGGATTTTAGTTTTGCTTTAGCAGATTTCTGTACTTGCTTCTGCAAATGTTTTTTTTTTTTCTTCTTTTTGATAATTTTTAATGTCTTAAACCTCCAGGTAGAAACAAGAGTCTCAGTCAGTCCTGGTTTTAAATCAAAGTTTGTCCCTGGCTGCCACGCAGTCAAAAACAGAGATGTTGAGTAAGCATGCATGTTTTTCTGTTGCCCATCTGCTTTTCTAAGACAGTACGAAGAATAAAGTGCTGACAGGATGTTAGTGCAGAGACAGGAAATAGTTCAGGCAATGGTTCAGGCCAAGTTCTTGTAAGATGCTCTATATTCCAGAGCACTTTATAACTCTCTCTGCATGTTTTTGGCAGCTTTGGTTACTAATTGCACTCACAGTAAAGTTGTGATCGGACCACTGCTATTCAGCCCGTTTGACCCTTTGTCATCACTACGAACGTACTGTGCTATAATTTTAAACATCTTTTAGTTATGAACAGTTCCAGGGATAAAGAAAAATCAAACAATGCATTTTATTTCAGTAGATTGATGCCTCCTTAAGAAAAATGCACATCTAAAAGCTGGTTTGTCCAGCAGAACTTTATAAAATTATTTCACAACTTTGCAATTTCTTGCAATTACTGTAAAATAATATGAATCAGTTGATGAACGTTAAGCAGGAACTGACTCAGAGGCTGTTCATGTTTGTTCTTACAAACCCATAACACATCTGTTTTGGGTGATTTCATTTCAAGTGGTCAGCTCTGATATTTTCACTCTTGCTGGTAAGTCGTGGACCCAAAACCTTAAGCAACCAGATGTCAACTGGACTCTGTTGTTTGCAGAGACAAGCACACAATTAGCTGTACAAATAACACGATCAGACCAAATCATTATTGACAGAATGCATTTCAGAGACATATGAGTTGTATTTTTATCTCTTGATAAGCTTAATTACTTAACAGAAGAAGTAAAAGTGACACTAGAAAATTTTCAATTTCCTGTGAAATGCAGTGTGAATGCTTATTGCTGAAGAACTTGCTGAAAAAAAGCTGAAATTAGCTAAACGCATGCTGAAATGTAGCTGAAATGTAATAACAAGTCTAAATTAGCACCAAAAAAGCAGACAAACCACATATTTTTCTGAATTTGGTTTAAATAAGCAGAAATGAGCACTTAAATTAGAAAATTAACTAAAAAAGCTGAATCTAGCAAAAAAAAACCCTGAAAGGTAGCTGAAAAAGCAGAAAGAGGCTTAAATTACCAAAAGGAAGTGAAAGGAGCTGAAAAGAGCTATTAAAAAAGGGAAATTAGCTGAAAAAGCCAATTTAGCAAAAAACACATAAAAAGTAGCTGAAACTAGCAGAAACAAGCTGAAATTAGCTGAAAGAAGTTAATTAGGCTGAAAGTAGCAGAATTTACCACAAAGATTAAAATTGATCTGAAAACAGATGAAATTAGCTACAAATGCTAATAATAATAATAATAAAAATAATGATGAAAAAAAAAAGGTTTCTGAAGCTTAAAAGAAAACAGAAAGAACATGTTTCCCCAATTAGGCTGAAATAAGAAGAAATGAGCATAAAAAGTGGAAATGATCTGAAAAAAGTTGAAATTAGCATAAAAACACTGAAAATTAGCTAAAGAGGCAGAAAGAAGCTGAAACTACTAAAAGGAATTGGAGAGAGCTCATTTTTGCTGAAAAAAGTTTAAATGAATTCAGAAAATGTGGAATTAACTGAATAATCGCAAATTAGCAGGCAAACAGCTTTATAGTAGCTGAAATGTACAGAAATAAGCTGAAAGGAGCAAAACAAGCTGAAATTAGCAGAAAGAAGCTGCACAAAAATGTTGCATTTAGCAGAAGCTTAAAGGAGAACAAAACAACAAAATAAACAGATGAAAAATGTTTAAACTTGCACAAGGAGACCCTGAAAGAAGCTGAAGAACAAAATGTGAAAGGAACAGTGAAAGGTTGTAAACAGGTCTAAAGATTTGAAGCATGTTAAATGAGCTTAAATCATTTTCTATGAGGGGAAAAAAAAACTCAGAAAAGGCAAAATATTTTAAAAAGCTAAAGTTGCACCAATACCACAAGTCACAGCAGGATTGTCCTGAACGAGCTGAACCTTTTGATTTATGATTTGTTGAAATGGCTTGAAAACTGCAGGACGAGAACCGTGCTGAAAAATGTACAGAAGAAAAATGGATCACAATAGTGTGAATGCTTCCTTAACATTCACACAATAAATGATCGGTGGCTTTGCACACCCGGACAGCCTTCAGCTACACCTTCACTGCTCCGTTAACATCAGCTCTGGGTTTAATTAGTGCTCATATCATGACATAACGCTGCTCAGATTGTTGCTCTTTTAGCCAATAAAATGTGAGAAATGTGTTTGTCTTGAGATCTTTGCGTTTTATTGTATCATCTGTTCAGCCTTCCCCGGTGTTTTCTTTGTTGCCAGCTCCTGCTTCACCTATTCCCAACCCCAATCCCCCCAGGTGTTCATCATCATGTCTCGTTAGTGTCCCTTTAAGTTCATCATCTTTGTGTTTCCTCCATGTCCGTGGATTGTGCTTCCCACATCCGTTCATGCTCTGTTCCTCCGTGTCTCCTCGTGTTATCCCTTTTTGTACGTTTGCTGCCGCATCAGCCTTTGTTTTTTTATCTTTTGCTAATAAATTAGCATTCCTTATTTTATCTTCGAGTTCCCTGCGTCTGTCTGCATCTTGTGTTTGCAAAAAGCACAAAAGTTGTATCATCTCAATATTCCCAGTGGTGGCTGCTAATCTTCCATTAACCAGCAGCTGAGCAATTTCTTTCTTTTTTTATTCAAAGACATCTATCCTGCTGCTTGTGTGGGGTGACAGGAGGTCCTACACCTTGGCTCAGCTTGATTGTGTTCACACGACCAAATTTATGGGAATTAAAGGGAATCCAAAGGTTGCACATTATTTTAAATGTGCGTTAAGGTCGTTCAGACCTCTATTGAGTGCAATAAAAAAACAGATTTAAACAGTTTCTAGATAAAAGTGATGGCCTTGCAAAGGTTGGTAATAAAACTTTTTAAATCAAACTCGACATGTTGACCACAAACACACAGACGGGGTCAAAGTTGTAAAAAGTTTTGTTGTTACAGATATGAAAATGATTTCTTCAGTCCGCTGCAGATCTGTAAAGAGAGGGAGCCGGTTATTGTGGGATCTGACGACAATGTTCATGAAGGTCATCAAGAGGGATTTCTCTCTTATTTGTTTGTTTTTCTTCTGCAGGTAGATAAGAGTAGGCAGGTGCAGGAACCCTAGGAGGAGACTGAAGAATAACGAGGAAGATTAAACAAAACCAGGATGGTGGAGAGTGAGCAGATAGCCATTCAGGTGAGTATTTTACGTTGCTTGGTTTTGGTGCTCGTTACTTTCAGAGGTCTCAGTGAGCCGGACAAGGAGGTCTGTGAGAAGAGCACAGATAAACAATAACGCTAAAAACAGAGGCTCAGAAATCCAAGAATGAAGCCGAGCCAAACCACAAAAATATACTTTTAACAGTCGAGCAACATTCCAACTCTTTACAGGTGCTTTATTGGGTGTTAACAAGTTGCAGATGTGAACAATTGAGCCAGAGAGGAAGGCATCTGTAGAGCGAATCCAACATGGCAGTACCTGCTCACAAGTCCACCTGGATAAAAAGACTGGAGAAAAGATGAGAGGAGAATAAGATAAGCTTCAATCCAGACAGCTAGTTCTATAGAAACAAAGTCTTACACAGGAACCCAGACTGTAGTCCAGAGAAAAACTGCAAAACACTGTTCAAATGATCCAAAACAGCTGATTCACGTTAAGATTAGAACTATGAAAACATAAACAATTCGCTTTATGGGAACGATCTGAATGGAAACTGATCTAATGTTGACAGGTGGAAACGATCTAAAAAAAGCAATGAATCTCAGATATATGTTTTTAAGGTGAGTAACGCTGGTTTGTCTGTGGGTGTGCACACCTACAGACAAATGAAGAGAACAAGTGCAGTTCTCGGCGGCAGAATAACAAAATAATGACGCCAGTATTCAGAATCCAATGATACTAAATATAATAATTAAAAAAAAAAGGTTAAAGGCTAAAACAACTGGACTTTTGTTCTGTAGCTGAAGACGTTTCACTTCTCGTCCAAGGAGCTTTCCCAACCTCACGAGAGGGACACTCTTGAGGACCAAAATGTTCACATTTTGGAATGAGAAGACAGATTGTTTGAGATGGGGTGAAGGAAGCCATTTATGTAAAAAGAAAAAACAACTTTAAACAGAGGAGGTCTTGGATTTCAGCTTTCAAAAACCAATAATGCAACTTTAGGCCTGATACTAAGTCGGTTTAACAACAATCAAGACTTTGATTCATGTGTCCAGAGTGGCCCACCTGTGAGTCAGACTGACAGAGACCATAATGAACCTCTAAAGCAGGACTATTCAACATAACTACTCAGGGGGCCACAGTTTCTGAAAGACAGTAGCTCAGGGGCCAGACATCCAGCAATTTAAGTCATTATGTAAATAACCCAAGTATTACAATGATCTGTTACCTTTCAATTGTGTTTATTTTATTGCATTGAATCATAAATGCAATAAACAGAACACACAACCCAAACTGAATTGGCCCACGGACCACCAGTTGAATAGCCCTGCTCTATTGTGAGGAGTGAGAAGGCAATCTGCATGTGCATCTAGCTTACAGAACAGCTCAGCTCAATAACTTGAACTCCGCACTCTCTGTTCTTTGAATTTAGACAGCTCCTTGGATGAGAAGTGAAACGTCTTCAGCTACAGAACAGAAGTCCAGTTGTTTTTGCCTTTAACATTTTTTATTTTAATTGACCATGTCTTGGATGAATGAGAATCTTCACCAGCATAAATATACAAAGTTGTATAAAAATACTGTAAACAAAGGAAAACAAATATTGCTAAATACATTTATCTCTAAAGACAGCAACTTTATCATTATGTAGTCAGTGTAAATGCACAGTTTTTTTATATGTTTTATGTAAAACATTTGTTCTATTGTATAAAGGAAAAAAATGAATACTTGTAATATATTTAGAAGTTCAGGACGAGGTCTTTTATTTTTTGCATATTTGTGGTAATCTAAACCCCAGAGGTATTCCTTTTATTAGCACACTAAAAAAAAAAAAAAACTCAAAAATGATAGTTCAAATTTTTTGAAGTTGAGTTTTGTAGAAAGGTTAAGATCGATGAATATCTTACCTGTTGTAGATGGTGCTTTGAAGAACTCTAGTTGATTAAATTCATACTAGATTAATGAGCTAAAGAGCAAAACCTGAAATGGATCCCCTCAGATGAGCTTGTCGCTCTGGTCAGAGGTAATGTCTGTTTCCTCAAACTGAGGATGTTCAAAAATCTAAATACAACAGATAAGATATTTATTGTTTATCATCCTTCCACAAAACCCCATTTCGTAAAACCTCTGTCTTGTACCTTGAACTTGTTTGTATTTGGTTTTAGGCCTAAAACATTTTCCTAAACAAACAGGAAGCTGCTGGTTTCATTGTTGTCTTTAAGAAAAGTCATTTTTTAGGATGTTTTTCTTGGTAACTTTTGATTCAGTCACTGACCTCAGTGTTTATCAGTTTAACTTGAACCTTTTCCTCCATCTTCATCCATCTTCATCCATCAGAGGGGAGTCGGGGTTCTGCTCCTTGCCCCTTCCTCCCTCCTCTCGCCTCACTGCCTCTCCGACACAGCAAGATAACGTCAAGTTTTATCTGAAGCCAAGTGGAAAAACAAAACAGCTGCAGCACAAACTGGTCGTCTTCTGTTTTTAGCAACAAATCAGATCAGCTGCGACAGAAACCGCTCTTTGCTCGATTAGATAGACTCTGCATTGTTGCTGCAGAATATCTGGGAGTCCACTTTGTTAAGGGCTCTATACAGAGGAATAGAAACACCCCTTTGTGGACTCTATGTCACACTCCATGGTAACAACATGCTAAAATTATACATGTTAATGAAATGCATAAACATCCTAAGAGTCTACATCCTGTTTTTTTCTGCAGCTGGACTCATATGTGGTGAAAACACCTAAAGTGCTGCACAAGCTCAACTCTATTTCCCAACAGAAGATGATTTTTGTTTAAAACTCTGGCATAAAATGGGAATATTCATTATCTCCAGGAACAATAGACCTTTACTTCTAAGTGTGGCTTTTTAAAATTACAAACAACCTTTTATGTTTTATGTGCTTAAATTGTTAGATTTAGAGGAAATTAATGAACAGGAGGTGCTAATCACATGCAGGTAAATTTAGATTAAATTGAAACGGGACCATCCTGTGCGGTGCTGCTCCCCTCCTATTTAATCACTGGGGCCGTGCTGGCTCTTTAATTATTTCTAACAGGCCTTTTAGATTTACCCCTCGCAATTAGAGGAGAACGTGTTACTGTCCAATTTAGCCCCTTTTCCTTCCTCCCCCCACCTCTAAACGCCTGCTTGTTAGAGGGGAGAAGCCTTGATCAGCAGCAGGGTTCGTCCCCTCCTGTCCTGGGAATGGATGAAATTAGGAAGAGAGCCAATATCTGGGAGATGTGTGCATGCATGGGTTTGGATAAAAGAGCAGAAAGAAGAGACAAAAGAAAGGAAAGAGTTTAGCTTTTAATGTGGTAAAGATAAAAATGAAAGGAAATATGACATAGAAGAAGGTTTCTGATTGTTATTTGTGCTTAATAAGTTTTGGGTTTCATTCTAGCTGTGTAACTTCATAAATGGGGGACTTTCCTGAGAAACTGAGACTTCCATGTTTGTTTCCAGGGCTTCACGAGTTCTGCCAAACCTTTCTTTCTTTCTCTCTCTCTCTCTCGCTCTCTGCCTGAAGCTCTCGCTCTTTCTCTTTCTTTTCATTGTGTTTGTTGTTTTTATGGAAGGGATAGACGCAGTCCAGATCACCGTTGCCAGTAGAGACTGTCCCAGTTCACCTCCAGCGGCTCGCCTCTCCTCTCCATTCATAAACAAATCGCTGCAGAGCCTGGGAGCTGTCGCACCTATAACAACAAGCAGAACTTGATTCGTAGTTTTGAAGCTGTCACCTTCTTTCTCTCATTTTCATGAGACTTTAGTCTTGTTGCTTTTTGCTCCTCTCTGTTCACCAACACCCCCTCATCCACCCCCCTCCCTGCCTCATTTCTCAGCCCAGCAGGGCCGGGCCGCTCACACTCTGCTCTCTGGGTGTCAGAGAAGGAGTGTGTGTCTGCCTGCCTCGTCTTTTAAACCTGCACTCTTTCTCTAGGCTTATGTGAGAAAGGAGGGAGACCCCTATAGTGCTGTGATTTGACTAAAGCAACGGCCCGGCTCAGAGCGGGACCTCCTCCTCCCAACGGACTTCTGGGACAGCTCAGATTAACCTCAGCCTCAGAACATCTGAGAGATCTGCACATTTGAAGCAGCAGGTCCTGTGGAGACTTCAGCTGGAAGGCTCTGCTCTGATTTCCGTCGGCTGGCCGGCAACTTTCTCGGACAGAGGGGGGAAGCTCTGATTGGAGCCCGCAGATTGGTGGTGAAGGTAAGGTGGTCCTTATCTCCAAGAGTGTTTTTGTCTGTTGGTCACAGCTGTTTGGCAGATGTTGGAAAAATCTCATCCAGACCACTTTGGGAACTCTGAACATAAATTGAATCGGACTCAAGAAACTTTCCGGTGGTTGTGTTGTGTGTTTGCATCTCTGCCGTGGTGTGTGCGACCTGCATGTGTTTGACTGTGCACACACAAGCACCACAATGAATGTGCCAGAGTGTGAGCAACCTGTTCAAACATCAACACGGCGATGGCTCGCATCTCTGTACACAGACACCGTTTTGTTTGTTGTTTTGTTTTGTTTTACAAAGTGCAGCTTTAACTCTGTTTGTCTTCTCGCTCAGAGACAATGTTTGACAAGGTGTCAAAGAGACACACACTCTGAGGTTTACAGCCTGTTTGTATGTACATGTACGCCACTTTGTGTTTCGCTGCTAAAGAGCGTGTTTATACAACCCTCTTCAGTCACCCTGAAAGAACCAACGATCTTCTCTCTGACAGAATCAGTCTTCTCCAAACAGAAACACGTCTCGACATCAGAGCCAGCATCCATCACCTGCGTCCTCTTGAACTACTAATGAAATCCTTTTCCACTGATCTTACATGCCGGCCTTCTGATCTCCTGTGACTCGGTCGACAAACTCTCTGTTGAATCTTCTCCTCGCAGGAGGTTTTACTACCTGCAGTGAGTTACATCCGAGTCATGGCTGAGAGAGACATGTTCTGGGCATGGCTGTTCCATCTGACATGACACATGCTCTGCACCTGAAAGCCCCAGTAATAAGCAGCCGCTGTGGTCTCCTAACTCCGGTTTGGTTTATTGCTCCTCCACCTCCTGGATGCAGATGTTTCTTGCGCAATGAAAGCGTGTTTTTTGTTCTCAGCTACATGTCAGAGTTTCAGTTTGACACTTTCAAATGCTCTCTGACTCTGTTGTGTATGTCCAAGTGCAGATTAATTGTTCTGGAAAAGCCCTTACTAATGGTGGTCTGGGAGCGTGCTGCATTCATGCCATACTTCTGCACCAGAGCAGCCCAGTTCAAACCGCAGCATTGCTCTGACACTTTTTCACAACAGGGATTTCAAACTGTAACAAGGTTATATATCTTTCCTGAGCGGTGGGGATAATCCTCGCCGTGCGTCAGGCTGCTGGTATGCATTGCAGAGTCTCTGTTCTGGCCTGATGTTATGCAGCCCAGTCGGGTCCGACCTCGTCCTTTACTCATCAGCTGTTTCCTGGCTCTCTCTGCATGCCAGTCACAATGAGAAAATGTGCTTCACATTATGACCAGGCAGAAAACACGCCAGCAGCGGTCTCTTTGGGCTCACATGTGCTCCACAGGACCAATGTGGAAGAGTTTAGGCTCAGCAGAGAGTGTGTTGAAACACACTGATCTCATTGCGTCCTCTGATTTATTCTCTGTTTGACGAGCTGAACTGCTGCTGTTGTATCTAGACCAAAGATTGGGCTTAAATAAATTAAATACCTATTTATAGCTGTGGGTAATTGATACACTCCTTGATGAGTGTGTCTTTACTGACTCATTTCCTTCTGGTCAGTTATTGCTCATCATGGATATTTTTCAAATGAGTTGTTTTTTAACCAAAGGCTCGGCCTCGTGCCCTTTATTGCAAGCTGTTGATCTTTTAGTGCTGCGCTTCGACTATGTTCTTGAGTCGATTAGACGTAATGAAGAGCACTTAGCGGTGCAGCAATAAAACATCTCGTACAGCATCTACCCCCCTCCCTCCCTGATTCCTTCCTTCTTTCCCTCCTCCCGCCCACTCAGGCCAAACTGACAGGCAGCTGCATCTCATCTTTAGTCAGGAAGTGCAGTCAGTCCAACAGGACAAATTGTTCATGTTGCTGCATCTTCACTGTAGTTAAGGAGGACGTCAAAGACAAAAGACATTAAACTGTGTCATTTTCACACAAGTAAAAAGAAAACTGTTTAAATATATGGATACCATGTAGGAAAACGTGAAGCCATGTGTTCATTTACCTTTAAGCGTACTTTAGTCCACTGGTTCCCAAACTTTACAACTTTTGACCCACAGAATAACACCAGCAGAGCTGCGCCCCCTGATCATCTCTAGTTGAAATATATTAGCAAAGTTAATTAATCAATTAAACGAGCAAACATTGGCAAAATATATGAAGAGCTGCCAGTTGTGTTCATGACCAACACTTAGTTCAATATTCAAGGATTCAAGGTTCTTTATTTGTCATTTGCACCACATGGTACATGTGGTGGAATGAAATTGTGTACACAGGGTCTCATCCAACAAAAGTATTGAAATATAAAAGAAAAACAGTGATAAGATCTAAGATATGAACTAAGAAAAACATTAACTAAAAATACACTAAGCACTAATAGGAAAAAAAAAACAATACAACAGCATGAACATGAGTCTGTGGTGATCAGATGAGCACGAATGAACACAGCAGCATTGAAACAGATCAGCAGCAACATGAAACAGATCAGCAGCATGAAACAGATCAGCAGCATGAAACAGATCAGCAGCAACATGATGTGAATCTTAACAGTGATTATTCTGGTTAGAGGTTCATGAGTCTAACAGTCTCAGGGTAGAAGCTGTTCCTCAGTCTAGTGGTTCTACACTTAATGCTCCTTAACCTCCTTCCTGAGGGGAGCGGGGCAAAAAGTGTGTGTGCTGGGTGAGTGGAGTCCTTCATGATGCAGGTGGCCCTCTTCCTACATCTGGGGGTGTAGATGTCTGTGATGGTGGGGAGACTGACTCCATCAGTCTTCTGTGCAGCCTTCACCACTCTCTGCAAAGCTTTTCTTTCTGCAGCTGTGCAGCCTCCATGCCACACGTTGATTATGGGACCTCATTAGAATATTTTGTTTTATGTCACTTAAATTCTTCTAGACATGTATTTTGTCTTTTCATATACCCACTACTTTACAAAAAGTATTAGTAAAAATGATGTTTTTATCATTCATAATTAAAATTTATGATCATATAATAATTAGTCGTTTGTTGTTAATGATTTAATGTCAATAAACATGTATTATTTATGAAATGTTGCAATGTACCGGTAATACGCCTATTATTAACATTTTGTTATAAGTAATGTGTCCTTTAATCAGTTTGTAACTTACTTAAAACTTATTTATTTATTACGACTGTTCCCTGACACATTAACTCACAATTTTCAAAGCTAGAAAACTTCTGTTCTTTGTGCTCATCCTATCACTTGAAAATTGTCAATGAAATTTTAGCACAATAAACGTTAAACATATTTTGAACCTTAATGCAGCAACAATTACCACATAATGGTGTGAAGATGTTAATGCAGCAATCATTCTCTCTCCGTCATGTGTGAGCTGCTCTGAATGGTTATGTATGTTAGTGTTCATGTTAATCTGCCTTAAAGCCAAGACCAAGCAGACCCCGAGCATTACCTGCAGCAAATAAAACATATCTGGTAACTAGAAACCTTCAGCATGAAAAGGACTACACCAACCAAAACTTGTCTTTTGAACCAAAGTTTGAATTGTTTTGGCGTTTCTGTTCCAGAAATCTGCCAAACTAACTCTGAACAGCAAACAGGAAGTTTGGGTCTCCATCGGACTCTTTTCTCTCTGGGGGTTTTGCCGTCCACGCCAACAAAAACAGATTGGAAGTGGTGACACAGAGCAATGGGAGAGGAGGACAAAGGAAAACAGCACACTGCTTTCACAATATAAAAATATTCTGTGCAGCTAAAAGCAGAGAACAAGTTCAATTTTTAGTGCCGGCCACCAAAAGCAGTGAGAGGGCTCATGTTTTAGTCTATATGTGTGTGTTTGTGTGTCTGTCTGTTAACAAAACTTTCATAAACAAATTTTAATGAATCTTTCAGAAGGTAGTCACTACTAAAGTTTTTGGAGCCAACCCAATTCTAAATTACCTTAAAAAACAACAACGCCTCTAACTGTGTGAATGTTACAGATATTTAAACTTTTGTCTTATAGTAGCTAAGACTGATCCTCAAAACAAATCCTGAGTTCTGACAGATTGCACAAGATCTTTGTTTAAAATTTACTATTTAAAGTCAACTTTGTTAGCAAAATATCTCATGTTTTTGGATTTTATTGACATGCTCAGGAAATCACTAATCATTGCATTTTTACTTCTACGACTGATTGTGTTGGAGCCAGCCCAATTCAAGATGGCCGCCACAGCTAATCAAACATAGCCAAAGTAAAAATGACTAAGTCTGTAGGTTTTACACAAACTGAGATAAAATTTGAAAAGGTAGTACAGTACTCTCTCGTTTATCGCGGGGGTTCCGTTCTTAGTCCACGCGCAATAAGTGAAAAACCGCGAAGTAGGAATAGTAGTATTAGAAAGTAGTAGTTTATTTTAGTTTAGTTATATATATATATATATATATATATATATATATATATATATATATATAAAAAAAAAAAAAAAAAAAAATATATATATATATATATATAGATATATATATATGCATTTTAAACCCTTCCCACAGCGCTCTTGGCCACACCCACTTCTCCGCCACAGAGCAGGTGGCGATCGACATGCTGAAGGAAGGAGCTTCTCCCTGCACATGTGGACTGCACGCAGGTGCTAAATAATTTAAGGTAATTTATTTTAAATTTAAAAATCCATGCCGATATTGCAGCTCATCCATCAATCAACCAATTGTGTATCATGTCCAATCTTATTTTGAAAAACCACGAAAGAGCGAGTCCACAAAAGTCAAACAGTGAAGTAGCGAGGGACTGCTGTAGTTGAGTGATTCTCAACACATACTCTGAACATGCTGCTGATCTCTTGCCTTTATGTTGCTGTATTCATACCCATCTACTCACTACAGACTCATGTTCGGGCTGCTGTTTAATGTACCGTATTATTTTACATTATTAGTGTTTAGCGTATATCCTAGATCTTTTAGTGTCTTGTTTAGCGTTCATTTAGTGTATATCTTAGATCCTTATGTATTGTTTCTTTTT